GTAAGTACGCCGGTGATGCTCACGTGGAACTATGTTTGGTATGAGTGCCAGGACACCCTGTGGTATTCATACTTTTATTTTTATGGCTGAACTTTGCTATCTCTTCTCTTTTATAGCAGTTCATTGGGATCTCCTGTGGTTATATCACAGCTGAGCTATTTGTGTTGTGTTTTGAGCCGGAGAGAGGCATTGCTAAGTAAGAAGGGAATACCCTTGTGTAGAGATGGACTAATGGGACAGCAGTTACCGTGGACAGACATTGAGCATCAGTTGGTGGTGTGCATAGGGCTTTGAGTTTCCCCTGCTAGCAGCATGTCAGACCTATTTAGTAGCAGGTGTAAACCGAAGTGCATTTTAAAAAAATAATGTAAACACAAAATCAAGGTTGTTTTTTTTTCATCACTCATCTTCTTAGTACTTGTGCAGATTCACAGCTCTTTCAGGTCTCCAACACTACAACTCATGTTGTTGCGTTACTTAGGCAAACATGGTCCATAGTGAACCCTTCTGGAGGAGTTGTGCGTCCTCACCGTGTCCATCAATGGATGTCTTTCAGATGCTCGACCGCCTCAAATGTAGTGAGGCTGGCCATGATCTGACCTCCCTCCGTTAGTCACCGGCTGACCAAATGATTGGAAAGCCCTTAGAGACATTTTTGCCTTTGACGGTAATATTTATGCGTTTGGTTGTTTTTACCTTTTTATACAAGTGGGTGAGTCAGACTTTTTTCCACACAGCTACTGAAGGGGGGAAGAGCAGCTGCTGGGTCCGGTCAACAGGCCACTCAGTCTGTTAGCAAGCTCTAAACGACAGACTAAATGACATTTGTTAACCTGTCAGGATGAGGCTCCAGGCGGCATCTTCAAAAGACTAAAATACGTTAGGTGTAAATTCTAGTTTGGATGAATTATTGCTGTGTAAATATATGTTCCACCCAAGTTTTGTTCCACCTGAGTTTTGATTTTTTTTGCTTCTTTCTCATTTAGAAGTGTAACTTTGTAACATAATTTTTACTTAACGAGCAATCCCGTTACATGTAACATCTTTATTATTTCCACTATAATTTCTTTTAGGCATTTGCAAAAAGTTTAAACACATAGCTTTACACTGAGCAGAGGACAGTGCAAAACAAGCGGTTATGTAGATTTTGCCGTAAATGCAACAAAATGGATCTTGTGGTTAGCCGGTGGTTGGGCCTCACATCGAGAAAAATCTGGTTTGAGGTCTTTATTCTTCTGTAAGCCACATAAGTAGCCTCTCAAGTATGGTTACTCTGACGATTAGAGTTGCAGGACAGGCAGGAAGTAGATATTTGATGACAAAAGAAGTGATAATTAAATTAGACAGCAAAAAGTGTGAAAATAAAGAAGGAAAGATTTATTTTTGGACATCTATTATTTTCTTTTATTCAAATTTAAGGCGCAGAGATGCAGATTGGGTTAGGTAGATATTATAAATAACGCCTTCTTTTTTACTGACACTTTTGTAAGATGTAGCATTTCCTGGTACTGTTACGCATCTGCCCTGCAGCCTGTGTAGCCCTCACACTCCTGTCGACACAGCCCTATTACCCCAACAGCCTGCTACACCCAGGCCCTTTCACCCCCACCCCACTCAATTTTTCCAGCCTCAACTCCCAGCTCCCTCTCAGGTGCAAAAACAGTTGGAATTAGTCAACAGGGTCTCTGCTAATTGAGCTTGGAAAATATTGTATCAGTCCCGGTGGATCAGGGCCATGGAACAGCTGAGGGAAGAGGTGAAAGGGAGAAAGACTGACTTAGATGGATGGAGAGTTTAAAGGGATTCGTGACTTGAAAGAAGATAGGAAAGAAAAGTAATGCATTTTTGCTTCTACCTCTATTAAGGTTGACTTTAAACAGACATTTTCTACATTAATGAGTTAATATTCTACCCATTAGTCTTTCAAAGCATCCTTAAATTTAAAATTGAGGGACGGAGAGAATAAGTTGTATACACAATTATTACAAAGTGTTGAAAAACAATACAGAATAAGATTTGTGTAAAATTCAAAGTGATGCAAGAAAAAATGTTCTGCCTTAAGTGTACACAGGGACTAGCATACACAATCACTCTGAAACACCAACGCTACAGCTACAGTAATTCCTGTGGTTTGTTATCAGCATCGAGCAAGTCATAAACTCACCAGACATTTATCTGAAAGCATTTGTTAATCAGAGTAGACTGATAGAAATCAAGACAAATCATGCTCCGTGCAAGCTTGATCTAAATATAGATCTGTCAGTGCATGATTACAGCTATCATAGCTGTTACTAAAAATAACTCGTAGGACTAGTCAGTCAAAGGCACAAAGTACTAATTTTACAGGACCAAAAAAGGAGGACTTCTACATATTTTTCTTATGACCTAATGCAGAGCTGAAATTATTTTAAAAAAACGATCAAGGGGGAAAACACACCCAAATGTTTACAAAAGCCAAAGAGGCAGGTACGCATCATATCCTGTCCTGGGTCATCAGCCATAGTGAGCTAATTAGTGCTGCGACACAGCAGCTGCACCGCCACACCCAGCCACTGGTTCAGGATCAATTACCAAATACTGAGTCCCATTTCTGAAAAGATGTGGAATTATAGATTTCAATTAGAAGCTCGTTTTCTTTTTATATTCTCCATTTTGTTTTGTTTCCTAATTTTTCTCGGCACACCACAACATGGAAAACTGTCGGCGCTTTCATCACATTTGAACGGATGGCGTGTCACATTTTGGGTGTGAAAGGCAAGCTCAGCGTCTATGTGGTGTCACCCTTTTAGTAAATAAGGTCACTCACCACACAGCTACAGCTGCAGAAGTCACTGTGTTCAGCCTTCCTCTGCCATCAGCAGCTGTGAACCTCTGGGCGTGCTGTATTTATGAGTTTTCCTATGCAGTGCAACACATTTCTGTTCTATCCAAGAGTTTTCCGACTTTTCTGGTGTATTTAACTTGGAAGAAAACCCCGGAGAAAAAAATTGCTACATTCTGTATTTGTTGGGGGAATTATCCAAACTTGTTGAGGAAGGGGGAAGCTGTCAGTCAGGATAGAAGACTGACATGACTTTGACCATCGATAAAGAAAGAAGGATAAGTTTTGACTAAAGCTGTAGGGAAAAAAAGAATAAATGGTAAAAATCGTACAATAATTTTAAGTTAAAACAAAGTTGGTTGAAACTTTAAGTTCCATATCCTGCTAAAATCATTATATCTTACTGAAGGAATATTTTCTGTCATTTTGAAGTGTATTTCTGCACAACATAATAAACTGTTCTTACATCACCAATTAGACATGGCTATCTGAAAGGCTTCTGTTTGGAAAAATAGAGTTTACATCCGGCAGGCTAAATGAGCTAACATCTAATCTGACTACAGTCAAGATCAAAACGGAAAAATTAGTCTGAAAACAGTTTAAATATCCACAACTTCACATTTGTTCATATTGTAGCTTTTTAAAACCCTTTGATCACCAATCATTTGATGTAACATGCAACTCTATGGTTATCTAGTGTTAAAGGAGCAATAAGTAAGAATTCTACAGTGAAATATTCACAAAAACAGCAAATGTTGCAACCATGTTGGAAGGAAGTTTACACTAAAACAGATTTCATTCTCAGCTAGCTGGGGGGTTGCCAGTTTTCTCCTTTCAAATGACATAAGAGGGAAAAGGTTACTATTTAGATAAGTGAGTGAGGGCTAGTCATGTCTCTGGTGAGCTAAAGCTGCAGTGCCAACATTTTTTATTCGACACTGGCCGGCAAAGAGCTTCAGAGTTATTTAAAGAATTGAAGCCAGCAAACCAGAGTGACCCAGAAGTTATTTCTTGTGTCCCTAAGAAGTCTCGGCATTCAATTGTTTTACTTGAATATTAGGTGAAGCAGGCTAGAGGTTAATTTTGAGCTAACAATGCTAACGGTGAATTAGGAACAGTCAGCTCTAAAAACATCTCACACTACTTTTTCAACCAACAACTCAATAGTACAGTGAAATGTGTGTGTGAAGTGAATAATGAGTCAATAGTGAAGTTTTATTTCCTTTAATGAGTCGTCAAAACTATAATAACAAGCTAACAGCAAGACGGCAAAACTTCCTTCAATGCCAGAGAAAAGTTACTATAATAATTGAATATTAAATGGACTGTATTTGATATAGCATCATGTAGAGTCCTAGATCCTCCCAAGGGGCAGGCATTCACCCATGCACACATACTGGTGGTGATGAGCTACAATGTAGCCAGAGAGGAAGGCTGCCAAACACTAGCACCACTAGTCCCTAGCATGTTAAGTGTCTTACCCAAGTACACAACGACAGCGCTCTCTGCCAGTAGCTGGGATTTATCCTACAACCCTCTGAATACTGGACAGCCTGCTCTACCTCGTTTGCTACAGCTGCCCCCAGGGCTGGACTGGGACCAAACTATCAGCCCTGGCATTTTTACAAATCGTCGGCCCTCTCCATTGGGAGAGCAGTGGGGGTGGGGAGTGTTGCCGCACGCGGGCTCGTCTCTAGACCGAATGGGAGATCTAATATGGACTGGGACTGTTAAATTACAAACAGGGCCGACCGCTGCGACTGGGAGCCCTGGCCTTCCAGATCAGCTCACTCTCCATGGGCGGACATCAGCGGGACATTAGCTACATGTTAACGCTGTAAAAGAACTCCTATGTCATTGCTTTACCGTGTTTTTCTTTCTAAGAACACCTGGAAAAACTCTGCTAGCTTCAGGTTACCATGTAGCTAATGTTCTGCAGATCACCAACTGTGGAGTAGTGTCGGCCCAAGCTGGGCAAGCAGCCCACTTGGCTAAGCGGCCCACCGGGACAATGCCAGAATGCCAGATAGGCCAGTCCCCCCCTGGCTGCCCCTATGTGCTCTTTGCCATAAAACACTCTACCAACACCAGCTATGACAATGTATTTATTTACTTATCAACTTACAATGACTCGCCTTCGCTCACCATCTAGAATCTTCTGGTGCTGATCCGTGACTGG